GGGCAACCCGGTGCTGACCGGGCCTCGGAACGAGAACCCGACCCTCGAGCAAGTCGAGGCGAGACCGCACGGGGGCGGGGCCTGCGTTCCCTTCCCCCCAATCTCCGAGTCGAGGGGTCCGTTTTCGTGTCTTTCTCTAGGCAGTCTTCGAGGCCTACCTCGCGGAACTGCGGCGCGTCTTCGATGCGCACAAGGACGCACGCCCTAGACAGCACGCCCTAGACAGCCACACGCAGGGGCGCCCCCTCTAGTCCAGCCGGCGGTCGGAGGAGAGGCCTTCGGCTGCAGCCAGCCGCATGCAAGCGAGAGTCTTTCGGCTGCAGTCAGCCGCATGCAAGCGTGCTGTGGAGACGCTGCACGCTCCCGACGCCCTCTGGAGGAGTGGTCTGGAAGACTGACGTTGGAGGAGGGGTCTGGAGGAGGACTGACGCTGGCGGACTCCACGATGTCGCACGCGCCGGGGTCTGATGTCTGATGTGTCTGATGCGTTGCTCCTGGGCGCTGCCTCAACCTCTCACTGCCAAGCACTCCCTGCGCCAAGCGCACCCCCTCTGCCCATCGCCCACTCGCGTCTTCACACACCCCCTGCAGGACTGACCCCTCGAGTTGACTGTCGCCGTAGGACGCCTGCCTGCCTCCCGAGGTTGCGGCGCGCGGCTTGACCGTCCGTTTCACCGGGAAGCCGGCCGCCGGCCCGAGGCAACCGGAGGCGCCACAGGCGAATCTGTGATGCTGACGGGATTGGGGGAGGGGGGGGAGGGGGGGGAGGTCGAACGGTCTTGGGTGCTCACGCGCCACTGTGGGCACTTTCGTCGACAGCTGCCGCACATGCGCGATACTGACGTAACGGGATGGTGTACCGCGGAGGGTGCGGGCTGCGGAGAGGGAGTCGGAGAGCATCACAGCCTCTCACACACCGCGGTCGAACACGGTCACGGCACACGGGCGGGGAGCTCGAGATTGCCCCGGAGGGGGCGTGCGGGGAGGGAAAAAACACCGAGAGAATAAGGTAAGGTAAGGTAGATTTCTTGTACAAACATTGTACAAACATACCTCTTTTTAAGGGACACCGTTTGCATACAGACAGAGACGACTCCGACAGATCCCTGGGGTTGCCAGTTGCCCCCCCCCCCCCCTCCCAGGTCCCAGCCGCGCGTCTGATCTCAAGCACCCTGCGGCTGCTTGAGGAGCCCGGCTTGGCGGCACGCGCGGCTCTCCTCGAAGTAGTCGCGCGCAGCCTCGGGCCAATGGTGCGTGCCTCCGGCCCTGCTCGCGAGAGCACTCAGTGCGGCTAGGGCGGCGGCATCCTCCAGCCCGAAGCCGCCGTTGGAGAGGCTCGCATAGGCGGCGGCGAGCCGCGCCCGCTGCGCGGCCCTCGCCCCAAACTGCACCTTCGACTCGCCGCCGTCGCCACCGCCGCCCAGCAGCCCGGCGAGGCGATCGAGCAAGCCCGTCAGGTCGTCGTCGCCGCCCAGTGCCGCCGCCCTCGCCTCCTCGAGCCACTCCTCCACCTCCGCGCGGCCCGAGGGCGGCGCCAGCGGCGTCACGTCCCGCATCGTCGCCGCCATCGCCGCGCCGTTGGCCTCCGCAAACTCACAAATCTCCTCGACGCCCGCGATCCCCGCGTTGTCTGAGATGCCGACGCCGGCGCCGAAGAGGGCGGGCGCGAACTCGCCCTCCGCCGCCTCGCACTGAAAGGGTAGCCCGATGTGCGAGAGCACCAACTGGCAGCGGACGCAGTCGAGGCAGCCTGGCCGCGTGCGCAGCCGTAGGGGCGTCAGTCTCCAAGAGGTGAAGAGGAGCCGCGCGTCGTCCCTGGTGTCCCCCGTCGCATCACCCGGCTGCCAGCATCGCTTCCCTTTGCCAGTCCTCTCCCACGTGCGCGCCAGCTCTTGGGAGGCAAACGAGTCGTCGGCGGCGGACTGCGCGACGAGGCGGCTACCCCGCGGGACGGTGGCGCTGGCGCGCAGGAGAGTGCAGTGGAGCAGCACGGCCGAGAACATTCTGGTCACGAAAAAAAAATCTTGGCGGACACACGATTCCAGAAAAGTTTGTGTCCCCGCTCCTCGCTCGCCCGGGCGGAGGGCATGGCCGCGGAGGAGGCGAGTACACGCTGCCAGGCCTTCCGCAGACAGCCTCTTGGGCAGACTGAGGGTCGGCTTTGCGTGGCGTGGCCCGTACGCTGCGCTGCGCAAAGCTGCGTATGCGGAGGGAGCATCCTGTGCTTCCACCGGGAAGTGCGCACCTCCTGCAGCTGGTGGAAGGCCGTGCCGCCGCTCGCCTGCTCCGTGGACAGGGCAGGGAGGCGGCGCCGCAGCGCCGCAGCGTCCGCTGCACGCCGGTGCAGCACTCTGCTGCCTGGTGGGCAGCATGCTGGTGCTGTGCGCGGTGTTTGCGAGGCGGCTTTGGCGTTGTACTGCCAGCCGAGGCGAGTGGCGCGAGGCACGCGCGGCGCCGCGCGTGGCCCGGATGGCGCCTGAGAGCGCGCTCGATGAGCCAGCCGGCGCGGCGCGAGCGCCGTGCAAGCTGGCACATCGTCTGCATGCTGCCGTCGATTCTCTGGTCGACGGCGGTCAATCTCACGATTGTCGATCAAAACCGGCGGGCTTTGTGACGCCGTTTACGCAATCGTTTTTTGGCCTCGCTTTCTCTTTTGCTTGGTTTTATTTTGTTTTTTCGTTTGCGAAGCGACAGAGGGGGGGGCGGGCGGAGGGCCTCTCGTACGATCGGTATGTCGGATACTGGGGCGACATCTCGCACCGCCATCTCGTTGCCGCCGGGTCCAACGCCAAGTACGACAACACCGCTTCCTTCGCCGAGGTGGAGCTCCTCTTCGACCCGGAGCCGCTTCTCCGCTTCACCCCACACCTCGCTGATGACGCGCGCACCGACGGCGCCGACCCGGCCGTCGTCGTGGGCGCCGACGCGAACGGCCGGTGGGGCCCGTGGCGCGAGCAGACGACCGACAACCCGGAGGAGATGTGGCCGGCGCAGTACGATATCCGGCTGTCGGAGCTCGTGAACCAGTACAACGAGGCGGTCGAGTCGCGACGCTTTGTCACTGAGAGCATCTACCTCAAGTACGAGCCACCCGCTGACCACGAGGTGACGGACGTCACTCTCTCAATCACGAACGCGAAGGGCGCGACCAAAGACTTCCCCCTCGCCGCGGGCGCCTCGTGGCACCTCTGTGGCGAGGGCTACTGGGGGATGTGCAAGGACAAGTACGGCGCGTTCACATACTCCGTGCCGCGTGCCGGCGATTACATCCCGTCACACGAGAACCGGGCGATGTGCGAGCACGCCGGCCTTGTCGGCGACACAATCTCGTGGTCGATCACCGCGTTTGACAACACCTCTACGACCGTCGACTTCAAGTCGGGCACGCACACGCTGCTCATCCGCAACAACGCCCTCATCTGGCCAGTGGAGGACGTCGAGGCGTGCACGATGTACGGTTCCAGCGCAGGGGGTGTTGGCTGTGTCAACTTTACCTCGACGCGCGTCTCGTACTCGTTCGTCTCGGGCCCGACCATCGGCGTCGCCGTCGCAGACATCGTCGACGAGCCGGTGCTCTACGGCGGGTACAAGACCCCGGTCAAGGGCTTCGACTTTTCCACCGACTCCTTTGACCTTGCTTCGGTGCAGGAGCTCTACCAGCAGTACCGAGCGGTGCCGGGGCCGACGGAGGACGAGGGCCCGTCAGAAGTACACAAGGTCCGCAAGGCTCGGCTCTCGGCCGCGTACCTACGCGCCTACTACCCGACCATCGAGGGGATGTGAGCCCCTCGACTGTGCGCGCTCATCTCTCGCCACCCTCCCGAAACTCCGTGCCATGCTCGCCTGTCTCGGGCAGGCTGGTAGCTACTCGGGGCGAGAGTACTAGTAGATAGATGCGTGTTCGAGAGCGTTTGGTGGGCGGCGGCATGGCGGTGTGGGCGTGCAAGTGCGCGACCGTGAGCCGTCGGCGCGTGTCACACCTGCCAGCCGACCTGGTGCCCTGTTGTACTTTTGAGTTGGCGTGGTCTCCGTTGTGGTTGCCACCTGTGCCCTATTTGTACTCACCACCGTCAGCTATCTCACACACCGGAGAGGGGGGACGACATTGGGTCGTTGCACGAGTATATAGGCCACGATGTCTCAAATATGATGGGTTTTGACTCATACCAGCTCCTGACGCTATCCCTGGCAGCTCTAATGGGGCCAGGGTCAGTAGTGTTGTGATAGAGGGTGCCCATACTAGCTGCACCGAGTGTGCTCGCAGTGTATGCCACGGCCACCGCCTGCGGCATTGCTCTCGTGCAGCTAGGCGACGCAGGTCCATCAGCAGGGCTCATCCAATGCGAGCGCACATTGTGCGTAGCCGCGCGGGCAGGTGGCAGTGCACGGCCGCACACCGGCTGTGGCGGCTCGTATGCCCCCGGCAGTGCTGCTAGTCATTAACTTGCGTATTAGGGCCGCAGCAGACTGCTGCTGTGGCAGCAGCAGCAGCCTGCTGCTGCCTGATTCAGTCAAGCCAGCGGCGCAGCGAACAGAACGTCAGATCTTGCGCCACCCAGGGCTGGACCTACGTAGTCTGAACTGCGCCTCACCACTGACCGGGAAGGCCGCCAAGTGGGCCAGCGTGTGCGTGTGTGTGGCTACAGCTACGGCAAGTGTCCTGTGACTGCGACACGGGACCACTGGGTTTGTATTACTAACAACGAAGGCGCTCACAAAAAAAACATTTGCCGCGTTGACTAGAAGAGGTCGCTCAGCTGCATCTCCTGGCCACCACGCAGCGCGTACCGGCCCGCGGCGGGCTGCATCAAGCCCTCAATCAGCACAGCGGGCGAGAGCGCGCCTTCGGGCTCCGCCCCGCGCGTCGCGGCAAAGTGGCTCGCCAGCGCCTCGGCCACACCCGGGGCGAGCTCAGCACCGAGCTCCGCACGGGCACACCTACAGCAGCATGGTGGACCTACCCTCGCTAACCGACTCGGACACGCGCTGTCACGACCTGGCGGCGAGGCGGACCGTGCGAACCGCTCGGCGAGCTGCCGCGGCGTCAAATCTGGCAGCGATAGCGTGGCGGGGCAAGCAGCACGGAGCGCCGGCGTGGTACGAAACAGCGACATCAGCTCACCAGACGTTCCAAGCAGCACGACCCCCGACTTCGGCGGCAGCAGCGCGAGGGCGGCGGCGAGGTGGCGGGCGGCCTGTGCGCTGGCCACGAGGGAGTCCGAGTCGTGAAGGAGCAGCATGCCGCCGCCCGCCGCCTCGCGAATATCCTCGAGCCAGGGGGCGGCGTCGCCCGCCAAGAGAGCCGTGGCAGAGCGCTCGACCAAGCGCCCGGTCAGCCGGCCGTGTGCGCGGAGCAGCTCGTGCAGCAGCCGCGCCACCGCCGCGCCGTCGGCGGCATCGGCGCCGACGATGGCGAGGCGGCCGGCGCGATCGAGGAGGCCACTGCCGTCCTCCGCGCCGCCACAGGGGGGAAAGGCCGTGGAGAGGCGCGCGCAGAGCCCGAGCAGCAGCTCGCGTGCTGGCGCCAGCTCGGCGGGCAGCAGGCGGATGCGGCGCAGCACGGCGGCGCGCTCGCCCTCCTCCGACGCGCGGCGGTGAAGGATGCCGAAGTCTTCCGCGAGCAGCGTCCTCGGGTCGGCAGCGCCGGAGTGGGCCGGGCACGGCGCGGCGCCGCCAACCGCGCCGCCGCCGGCGAGGCGAGACGCGAGGCGGTTCATGGCAGCCTACACGAAAGTTCCAGGAAAGGTGTAGGAGAGGTCTAGGAACGGTCTAGAAACGGTCTCGGAGACGCGAGGCGGTTCATGGCAGCCTCGACGACGCCGACGGCGAGGGAGGCGTTGCGCCTCGGGATGTCGGCGCGGTGCTCACGGGCGATGTGCTCGGCAAGTGCCTCCTGCACGCCGTCCGCGAGGCGGAGGCCGTAGCGCGCATGGGCCGTCGAGGCGGCGATGGCGGCCAGCTCCCCGGGCGCATAGTCGTCGAGGCGCAGGATGTGCGGGAAGCGGCGCAGCAGGCCGGGGTCGGCCCGCAGCAGCCGCTCCATCGCCTCCGGGTAGCCGGCAAGGACGCAGCAGAGCGAGGTGCGGTTGTTTTCGAGCTCCGTCAGCAGCGTGCGAAGCGCCTCGTCGGCAAACGAGTCGCCTCGGTCGCCGTCACGCGAGCCGGAGAGTGCGTACGCCTCGTCCAGGAAGAGGCAGCCGCCCATCGACGCGGCGACCATCTCTTTGACCTGCGAGCACGCCCCCCGCTATGTGTCGCCGTCGTCGGGGCATGCTATCTAATCTAGGCAGGGCAAGTGGGGGCGGGGCGCACTCCCATCTCCCCTGTGTACGGTTGGTGAGTGTCCCTACGAAGTGTGTGTGTGTGTGTGTGTGTGTGTGTGTGTGTGTGTGTGTGCGTGTGGGTGTGCGTGTGTGTGTGTGTGTGTGTGTGTGTGTGTTCCAGAAGAGTTGATTCTCCACGACCTGCGGGCACGTCCACCCGATGTGCGTCCCCTTGAGCTCGAGGGCGTTCCTATAGGACAGTTCCAAGACAGTGGAGGGAAGGGTCCCGATGTGCGTCCCCTTGAGCTCGAGGGCGTTCCTATAGGACAGTTCCAAGACAGTGGAGGGAAGGGTCCCGATGTGCGTCCCCTTGAACTCGAGGGCGTTCCTATAGGACAGTTCCAAGACAGTGGAGGGAAGGGTCCCGATGTGCGTCCCCTTGAACTCGAGGGCGTTCCGCTCGACGAAGACGTCCTGAAGGGGGGTGAAGGGGGAGAGGGCGACAGGGGAAGAGGGTATGAGAAGGGGGGAGAGCCTGCGGCGAGGCCTGGACAGGCCAAGACACGGCGAAGCACGGAAGGGCGAGGCAAGGGCAGGCGAGAGGGAGAGAGAGAGAGAGGCCTGCTGCAGCAGCCCGTGCGCGCGCAGCCATCTCGCGAGCAGCCGCGCGGCGGTCGTCTTGCCGGCGCCCGGATTGCCGGTGAGCACGATGTTGAGGCAGCCCTCGAGTAGGCGCGGGTCGCCGCCGCGTGCCACGTACTCCACCTTGGCCTCCAGCTGCGTGAGGAATGCCTTGAGCGGCGCCATCCCCGTGAGTGCCTGCAGCTCCGCCCGCACCTGCCCGTGGGCAGCGGTACCGCGCATGAGGCACGCCTAGGAGCAAGCACAGCGCGGCGGGGCGGGGCGCGGCAGCGATGGGGAGCACGGCGGAGGCGCAGGCCACAGGAGTGTGTCGAGACGAGACGAAGGCGGGTCCTGATGCGTGCAAGAGGAGGAGGCTTTCGGACGGCGCGCACCGCCCGCCGCTGCTCCGCCAGCGACGCGAGGCCGTGCGCCGCGTCGAGTCGGAGGTCCGGCTCCTACGAGACATGGGGAGATATGGGGAGATATGGGGAGATACGGCGGAGATACGGCGGAGCTCGTAGTCCTATGTGCTGAATACGCCAGCGTCGGGGCGGGAGGACGGTGTTGTGCAGCGTCTTCAGAGCACCGCGTGAAGACAACGGATAGGAGGACCGTGAATACAGCGGAGTACGGGTGAGTACAGCGGAATGCGTGCCTCTCGAGCGCTGGTTGGGAGACAAGAATACGTCTTCTCCTTCTAGGGCCATCTTCGGTGAGGAGGAGTGGCGAGCCCTGCAGTCGGCCCAGGGGTAGCCGCGCGTTGCGCGACGAGATTGCACGCTGCGCGAGCTCGCGCGCAAGGTGTGCGTTGCGGAGCGCGATCACGTCACCTTGCAGCACCGGTGTCAACGTCAGCAGCACAGCTCTATCTCTGCTGGCACCGGACGAGCTATCCCATCTGCTGGCACATCGGTGTGAGAACAGTCTCTTCTCGACTGTCTGCGCTTGTGCGTCTCGGGTCCCGGGTGGTGCTTTTCTGTGAGAACGGCCAATCTCTGCGCAACCGTGGACGCAGCATCCAGCTCTATCTGCTGGCTGGCGGAGCAACCGTGTGTGCCCTGTATGTCAGCCCCTCTAGGGCAGCGGTGAGGTGTCACGAGCGTCACTGGCAGCGAGGTCTCCAAGAGGGGCTTTCACGGGGCACTCACGAGGCCACGTCGAGAGGAGCGCGGCTTCGAGCGAGCGGCGTCCGACGTTTGGCGCGAGGGAGTAGCCTGCCTCGAGGAGCTGCACGGCCGCCATGGACGCAATCTCCGCCGGCGCGTAGCTTGGCAGCGCCAGCCGCGACGGCTCGCGCCGCCGGAAGTGCCCGACGCCGCCATGCAACGCCTCCACGTCGGAAGCCGAGCCAACGAACACAAAGCAGTGGGTCGGAAAGTTGCGGAGCACGGCGTCGGCCTTCTGCTTGGTGGCCTCGACACTCGGCGCGCCGAGGCCGTCTACCACCACCGCTCCAACGTCGCGCCTGCAGAGGTCCGGTCCGGATGAGAAAGAGTGCAGGCTGGGTCGACTATACCGCGGAGGCGTCGTGCCGAACGTCGAGGACCATTTGGTCGAGTGTCGTCTCCGTGGTGACGGAGCCGCGCACGACACCGAGGGCGCGGAGTAGACGGCAGATGAGCGTCGCTGCCGTCTTCTTGCCCGTCCCAACGGCGCCGGAGATCAGAACGCATCGCACGTCTGCCGTGTCGCCGACAGCTGAACGCGCCAGGGCGTCCCGCCGCAGGGAGGCGCACAGCGCCTTGAGCGGAGCGAGTCCGACTAGTGCTTCGAGCTCCGTGTCCACCGTCGCCAGCGCCTCCACGTCCAGCCCGCTGCAGCGGCGTCGCAGGTCGCGGTAGGCAGGTGAGCGAGCACGCGCTGCAACCTCGGCCGTGCGTGCGGATGCCGCGGCGGCACGCCCGGCCTCGCTGCGCGCACGGGCGCGCGCAGCAAGGCCGCGCCCCCGGGCGGCGAGGCCACGGAAAGCCGCTTGCAACCGCACCGCGTTCTGCTGCTGCAGGGCTGGCGAAGGCTGCGAATGGATGCGGGGAGGCAGAAGCGGCGCCACTGTTCCGCCGTGGACAGCCAGGGAGAGCTTGATCGGTGGCGTGGGGACATAGGCTGGTACGGCGGTGATGTCGGCACGTTTGTTGACCGCCGAGTGGGCGGCAGGCTCCGGGGCGGGCCGCTTGGCGCTGACCATGGCGGGCACAACGTGATTGCCGAAGAACAACGCTTGAGGCCGAGCCCGCCGTCATTCTGTCAGTCAATCTTCACACCTTGGTCTCGGGAGTCGACACGAGGCACACTGTCACCGGCCGTAGCACCGGGTCCGGACTGCTGGACACACAGCACACAGCTCACAGAACAGCTCACGAGGAGGCGCTGTATATGGGTTCTCGTGAGCGATTTCCTTTTTTTTGATGCCGCCGTCTTTAGATTAGCACCTCCCCCTCTACATCACCAAGCCCGCCGCCGACGCCGCCGCCGCCGTCGCTCGGCTGGCTGCTATCCGCCAGACCCAGCAGCTCCTGCTAGAGCCCGCCGTCTTTTGATTGCGCTGATTGATGCTTGCGGTCCTAGTGTACGCCCAGAGCCGCCGCTCCACCGGGCGTGCTTCGCCCGTCACCTTTGCCACCGACGTCTGCCTCGCCCACCCACCGGAATGCGATGGGCCTGACCACTTCACGTCAAGGATGCTCCCCCGCACCTATGCACTGCGGTCAGGCAGAAGGGTAGAGCACCACGCGGGCGTGAGCGTCATGCTTGTCTCCAAGCACGGCGACACGCACGCGTTCGATTGGTCAAACCTGCTCCACTGGTCGAGCGCGATGCTGTACTCCTCGCTCGTTGTGCAGTCCAACAGCTTGGAGCTGCGCGCACGCCTCCGCGCCGCCACCGCCGCCAGCCGCGGCCGCACGAATCTGAGCGCGCTCGGCCGCACGCTGCTGCCTACGATCCCCGCTTCAACCAGCGTCGTCCACTGCTCGGGCGCAGAGTCATCAGGCACTCCTGCCTACATGGCCCGCGGCGCTCATAGCGAGATGTTTGCTCTGTTGGCGCAATCTGCCTCCCTCTCGATCGCCAACGCACTTGGCATTGCGGCGCCGCCGCGGCCGCCGCTGGCTATCTGCACGCCGCGTCTGATTCACTGCTTCGACGGGCTGCTCTCCTTTCAACCGAAGGGCGGCAGCTCCTTCAAGGACCGGCTGGGTCGGTGGAACAGAGAGATGTTGCTCACAGGCCGAATGCAGCAAGCCGGGCCGAACCTCCTGGCGGCTCCCTTCCTCGCCGCGGCCTACCGCCTGGCTGGGTCCTCCCCACCTGCTGTCGTGCTGCCGCGGCCGCGGAGGCGCGTGGTCCTGCTGACGCGCCGCACCCAGTCACGGTGGACCAACCGGCCAGAGGCCGTGAGGGAGCTACGCGCCATCGCTACAGGCGCTGGAGTGGGCTTTGTCGACGCCGGCGATGCGGAGGCTCTTGGCCGGACGAACCTGCCTGGGGGCGGGGCTTGCTACGCAGCTCGCCCACAGCTCGAGCTTTGGCGGGACGCTTGGCTGGTCATCTCGGTTGTCGGTGCTCACGAGTCAAACCTCCTCTTCATGCCCTCGTGGCCAAAGGCGGCGGGGCTGCTCGAATCCACCAACTGCGGTTTCTTCACCGATTCCTACTCAGTGCTCGCGCGAGCCGTGGGCACCGGTCACCACAAGGCGCAGCAGCTCAACGCTCGCGGCCGGCAGTGTCGCCCGTCCACCTCCCAAGACTACAACGTGCTCAACAGCCCAAGGGAAATGGACCTCCGGAACGATACCCTCGGCTCGCTGCTCCGGAGACTGGTACTACTCCAGCCTGCCCCGCTCGCCACTAACGCCACGGGGCTCCTGCCGGGCAAGCTCCACCCATTCCTAGCAGCGCGGCAGGCGTCTCGGGCGCGAGCCAGCATCGGACAGAGGCTGTCCGATGATGGCTCGCAACGATCAGCATGGCAGCGTCAGCGCCTCCACAGGGGAAGGGGTGTTGGGCGGTTCGCGAGGGTGGCGGCGGCGAGGGCGGCGGCGAGGGTGGCGGCGGCGAGGGTGGAGACGAGGGCAGCGGCGGCGAGGGCGGCGGCGAGGGTGGCGGCGGCGAGGGTGGAGACGAGGGCAGCGGCGGCGAGGGCGGCGGCGAGGGTAGCAGCGGCAGGGCGTATGGGGTAGTCGTCACCGCTTCCTGCCTCGCAAGGCGAAGGGCGGGGCTGTCCCGGGAAGCCGGCGTGACGCGCACATCTTTACCTCCCGTACTCGAGTACGTGTTTGAGTTTGTGCTCCTCCCTTCGCGCTGTCCCCCATCTCGTGGGTGTGGTGTCGGATCAAGAGAATTCGTCGACCGGATCACACATCGCTCATCGGTCAGGACAACACATACGGGGTGTGGACCGTGACGGTTGACCAGGGGTTGTGCGCCGGGCCCTCCTGCTCGGCTCCAGCGAGTAGACAAGTGTTACCATCAACAGAGGAGAAGGATCTGACCTCGGGGCTGATGTGACCAAGCGCTGGTAGCGTGGTTTTACCTCACACCCATGGTCTCACAGTGTGCCGGCAGTCGCCGAGCAGTGTCGCTCACACATGCCGCAGCACAAGTGACTGAGGGCCAGTGAGGGCGAGCCCATCGCTGTCACAGCTGTGGCAGCCGCACAGTAGGCTGTGTCAACTGTGCAGAGCGTGTGAGCAGCAGAGGAGCTGCTCTCAAGGCTTCAGGCGCAAAGAGCTGCATGCCGCCGAAAGCGCTGTCGAGGTTCGCCGAGCGCGGCGCAGGTTGGAGGAAGCCGTCACCGACGAGCGCGTTGGAGTATTCACTCCGGACAAAGACGGGGACACAGCGGATGGTGCGGGGTGTGTCCCCGTCATAGCGGCGAGGCGCGGGACCGTCTGTGGCGAGGTGGGTCGCGTCCTCCGATTTCCGTGAACTCAGCATCCGGCGCTGCGGCCATGCCTGAGTGTGTGGCACGTCGCCTGCCGACGCGCCGCTGCTCGGCCAGCGCGTCGAGCTTGGCGCTCCCTCTAAAACACTTTTACGACACGGTCTCGATGCGCTCGGTACGACGCCTGCGACCCGTCTCCGGTCAAGGGTCAAGTGTTTTCCGTAAACACTCGAGGGCACAACGGAGAGAGAGTCTCTCTTTTCTCCCAGTAAGCTATAAGTACGTACACAACAGACAGGGTCACTTCTCTTTTCGACACTCTCCGCCCCGCTTGCAACGCGACAACGGCTTCATCATCTTCATCATCCTCGATCGACATCCATCGCCGGTGCGGCGGCCGGCGACGGTCGCCAATCGGAGTGCTGTGCACGTGCGTGGGCGTGAGCACCCGCGGTGGCGTGAGTCTGCACCCATGGTCAACGAGTCGCTTCTGCTCGCCCTCCAGAGCTTTGGCCGTGAACCTCTGCTTCTAGCGCCTGGGAGGGTATCACAGGATTTGCGCAGCTATGTTCGTGTGGCCATAAACACATCCTCCCGGACGACGCGTGAGCACTACCGGGGGGACTACCGGTCCGACGTGATAAACGGCGAATGGCACGCGCTCGAAACCTTTGTAGTCGAGATGTTCGTTGCTGCTTTTGCCGCGGAGCTGCGCGGATCGATAAACTCAGGGGTACCACAGATGATCCGCACTGTGGCGGCCTCACTGGGGCGCACTCTCCCCTTCTCTACGCTGGCTTGCAAGTAGATGCGCCACACGCCACGGGGTGGCGCCACAGCCCACCCACGGATCGGCCGGGGACCAAGAGACTCATTCATCCTCACACACTCCTCCCCTGCCGACGTGCGCCGGTGTGTCCTACCCCACCACAGGTGCCAAACGAGTACTGCTCTCCTAGTTACGGTGGCGCGTGGCGACTGAAGAGGCGAGGGCCTGTCGCTTGAATTGGAGCCGTTCGGGAGGACGCTAGGAGGACGCGCCTCTTCGCGTTCATTATGAAAAGCGATTAACCCTCCTACGCAGATACGACAAAATACGTCTGCTCATGGCGCCGAGCCCTGGTCTGGACACCAGATCGGCCCCCCCGCCCCTAACATTAGCCTCCCAGCCGCTCTGTCGGCCATAATGTTAGGGGCGGGGGGGCCAAAATCACGCAAAACCATCTGCGTAGGAGGGTTAATGCGCCAAGTTCAGAACATATATATAGACTGGAGTGGCGATGGGTGCGTTACAAACAGTGATCGGGCACTGCCGCCGATCGATGCTTGGCCGCCGTGAGTCAAGCCAGCCCCAAACTGCGGAGCTCCACTTGCACAGACCGCTCACAGCGGTCACGAGCTGGCCCGCTGGCCGCCTTAGCCCGGCCACAATCGCGGCACAGTCTCTGTCATGTGTCGACGCCGAGACAGTGCAGCCAGCGCAGCCAGAGCATGCCGGCATGGGGTGAGACGGACCAGCAACGCAGCGCTGAGCAATGCACGCGCACGGCACGGGTCAGGCACGACTCCTACAGTCGCGATGCCACCACACCGAACGGCTGGCAGCGACAGCCAATGCCAATGCATGCTGAGGACGAGTGGCGGCGTGCAGCTGCTGACCAACAAATTATCGCCGCGACTCATCCGTAAAGCCGCCACGCGACCAACTCGTGCACAGGCGGCCATACTGAGCGCGATGGCGACACAGCTGGGTGCGAGATAGCGGCCTCCGACCCGTCTCGCGCATTATCTCGGCCTCGTCGAGCAGTACCAGTGACGCGTCCTGTGCCGGCGAGGATGATGAAGCGAGGTGCTCGCGCAGAGTGTGTGCTTCAACAGCGGCGCGAGACCACCGATTAGCTCGGCGATCGACGACACACACACGCACGACTCGTCTGCGAGTGATCTCGGCCGCGTTTCTGTCGTCGAGATGGCCGTATCGAGGCTGCCGGCTGCCGGGAAGACGGTATCAGCAGGCGTTCCAGAAGGCGCGAAATCATGTATTTACTCGCGCGAAGAGCAGCGCGATGGTCCGAGAAGGGTGTGGCGGGAGCAGTTGGATGTACGGGAAGGGAGTCGGAGGTTGCATCAGCCCTAAATGAATCTCTAATCAAAGATATACCCCCTATATACTCTTCTAATGCATGATTTTGGACTGTGAATGTGATGTTCCACAGTAGATGGAGTAACATTTGAATGAAAAGAGCATTTGAATGAGGTGTGAATAGCATTTGAATGAGGTGTGGAACATCACATTCACAGTCCAAAGTAAAGAATATAGGTACTATGCGAAGCAATCCGCCGTGAT